ATGAAAGAGATGTTACTAAGGTAGAATCTAAAAGACTTGACAACAGATTGGATATGAGAGAGAGTGAGGAGGTGAGGCTAATACCACAACACTAATGGGGAAATTAGGAAGTGGAGAAGGTTGGGGAGTGGAGAGAGTGAGGAAGATACTAACCTCATATTCAGTTTTGGACCTGCAGCATTTATATACATACATATATATATATATATATGATCTAAATTATACCTATTATAATTTGTGTGTGTGTGTGCGCACGCTCGCGCGCGCTTGTGTATGTAACAGAATTATGTTCCCCTCCCAAGGGGTGGCCTCCCCAGCAAGGCCTCTACCTACTGGATCCAGAGTCCAAGAGGAAGGTGTCCATTCCCCACCATTACATGAGGGCATCTTGACTGCTTGCCTCAGGCATGATTTGGGATGCTTACCCCAGGTACAAAAATTTCTGGTTATGCCATAACGTTTTATAAGGATGTCACAAGCATAAAATTCATATTTTTGGTAAAAAAGTTCTAAAATTCCTTCTAGTTATGCAGTTCTGCAATTTTATTATCCTAATGAGACGTGGGCAGCTAGGTGGCACAGTGGATAGAGCACTGGGCCTGAAGTCAGGAAGACCTAAGTTCAAATCCTACTCCAGACACTTACCAGCTATGTAATTCTGGGCAAAGTCATTTAACCCATTTGCCTCAGTTTCCTAATCTGTAAAATGAGCTGGAGAAGGAAATGGCAAACCACCCCAATATCTTTGCCAAGAAAACCCCAAATGGGGTCCTGAAGAATCAGACACAACTGAACAAAAGTGAGATGTATGGGTCAGATGGTTCATTTGAAAAACTTAACTCTAAAAATGCTAACATCTCCATGGCCACAGCTCCTTCCACCTCTGTTCCATCTGAAATCATATAACTCTTTCGGGTGAACATTACTTGTTCTTTGCTCTGAAGGACTTGCTGTGGTCTTTGGTCAAAAGCAGTAAAGTTCTGGCCAAAGGTGGTGGAGATTTTTTTTTAAGTGTTGTAACTGTTTGTTTGTTTGCTTTGCTTTTAATTATGCTTTTTTAAAAGTCAGGATGGCAGAGTAGAGAGCAAGAAGTCTCTGGAGCCAGAAGAGCTGTGTTCTGCCTGTCATGTACACTGACTATGTGACCCTGGGCAAGTCTCTCTCTCTTTTTTTTTTTTTTTTTTTGTGGCACAATTGGGGTTAAGTGACTTGCCCAGAGTCACACAGTTAGTGAGTGTTATGTGTCTGAGTCTGGATTTGAACTCAGGTCCTCCTGACTCCAGGGCTGATGCTTTATCCACTGCTCCACCTAGATGCCCCTGGGCAAGTCTCTTAACCTGCTCCAGGCAATACTTCAAGTTGCATAACAGTTGCCATCTGTGCTGGTAGAGAGTTTTCTCACTGGGAGATCCCAGCATTAACGAAATGATAGGTCTCAACCAAAAACCAAAAAGCTTTTAGAATCCAGAAGAAATCTAAAGTACATCTTTTCTGATGGACTGTATCTAATCGATTTTGTTAGATCAATAGTTTTTTTGCTTTTTTGTGTAATGGACCCCTTTGGCAGTCTGGAGAAGCCTAGGCACCCTTCTCCGAATAATATTTTTAAATGTATAAAATAAAATGCATAGAGCTACAAAGGAAACAAACTATATTAAAATGCAGTTAAACACAAGTTCTTTGCACCCCAATAAGAACTCCTAAATTGGATGACTCGATGGTCATTAGAGTCCACTGGATCCAGAAGATGATTCCACAGATTTCATCTCAATCAACTCTTCTAAGTACCTAATAACCCTTATAGTCAGGAAGTCTGATCCAAATCCCCCTTAATTGCCATGATATTCTAATAAATTTAATATGCTTTTTAAGTAGCTATACTCTGAGCATGGGTTTAAAGTTGTTTACCATCAACAACTTTGGCAGTCCGAAATTACTCAATTTATATGACCTTTAGGCAGATGAGTCCCAAATTTGTGTCTCCAGGCCTGTCTGCTTTCTTTAACTCTGGTCTCCTGTCTCCAATGGCCTACTAAGCATTTTCCCTCCAATGTCAAACTCAGTACATCTAAAATAGAACTCACCATCTTCTGAGGAGCTCACCCTTCGGAACTCCCTATTTCTTCCATGGGGAGAAATCTTAGCCACCTCTGACTTCTTAAACTTGTGCCCCAACATTTAGTCTGTCAGCAAGTCTAGGCAGATAAGTGGCTCAGTGGATAGATAGAGTGCCGGGCCTAGAGTCAGGGAGACCTGTGCTCAGATCTGGCCTCAGACACTGACACTAGCCAGGTAACCCTGAGCAAGTCACTTAACCTTGTTTGCCTCTGTAAAATGGCAAACCGCCCTAGTATCTTTGCCTAGAAAACTCTAAATGAGGTCACGAAGAGTCAGACACAACCAAAATGACTAAACAGCAACAAGAACTTCTAGCTCAGGATCCTCCATCAATCCTGTGTTCTAATGCCTAGATAATCCCTAATGATCTAGCTCGAGATTCAGTCTAACCCAAACTGACCATGAGATTACCTTGCGCAAGAAGCTTCTTCAGTGACTCTGTTGCCTCTAGGATTAAAAAAAAATTTTTTAATGTTTTTAAACCTCCTTATCTGGGTGTTTAAAGCCTTTCCCAATCTGGTTCTATTCTATATTTATTTCACATTACTCCCCTTCACACTCTCTACCTTCCAGCCAAACTGACCTGCATGCTATTCTCCAAGATTGGCATGGTATCTCCCACCCTGACACCTAGAATAAACTTTCTCTTCACTTCCCACTCTTAGAAATCTTGGCATTTGTATCTCTCTCCACCCAGCACTAGTTATCAGGGCTGGCTCCTTAAATCATCTTGCATTTGCTTGTCCATGTAAATGCTCTATCCCACCTCCTATTAGAAAGCAAGTCCTTGTGTGGGTGGAATGGGAAAGGGGAGGCTATTTTTCATCCTACACCTAATATTGGGTTTTGCACATCTTGGACACTTCATAAATGCCTTCTGGGTAGAATCAAAATGAACTGAATTGAATAAGCTTGTCTTTCTAATCCTGGTTACCATTACCCCTTTATACAAACAATCTTTCTAGCCAGATGATTTTACTCCCATTTCCAAACATCTATGATCAACTCACTATCCCCAAACATACAAAATGAACGTTTCTAGCTCCATGGTTCTACTTCCCCAGCCTCTCAGTCTGAAATGCCCTGCACCATCCACTGCCCTTTTCCTCTCTTCTTATCTAAATCCTACCCTTCCTCCAAAGCCCGGATCAAGCCCCCAACTCCTCTGTGAAGCCACCAAAGCCCCCAGGGATCTTTTCCTTCCCGGAAATTCTTGCCTTCTGACACAAAAAACACTCTTTTGTGGGGTAAAACCTGGAACCTCAGGTTCTACTCCAGGGTCTGCCATTAACTATGAGATCTTGGGCTAGTTCCCCTGTCTGGGCCTCAGTTTTCTCCCCTATAAAGTAAGAAGGTTGGATTAGATAAATTCTAAGTTTCCTTCCAGTTCTAACCCACTCTGAATCTATTTTTAGTTATTTTATGTATGTCTTATCTCCCTAACTAGGTTGTAAAAACATGGATCACTTCTTTTAGTTTTCTGTATCTCCCAAGTTAACCAGCAGTGTCTTGCACATAGAAAGTATTTAATAAAATTTTTGTTCATTGACTATCACAAAGTAATTTTTTTTCTCATGGCCAACAATACACACTCAGCCTTCGGTCTAAAAAGTCAAAGTGCAGGTTTCCTGCCAGCTCATCTGCAGCAATAATATCCTACAAATGGGACTTCCGGCTCACAGGACCAAGAATTTTAGACTATTTTGCCTCCAAAGGGTTAATAGTTATTTTCTACTAGGGAAATGAATGGTAGTGATTTCAGGGCATTGGGTATGCTGGTTAGGATCATGCTTATTTTATAGATTATAGTTTGACTCCTTTTAGCATTTAATGGCAGAGAATAAATTGGGGGGATAGGAGCTAATGGAATATTAATGCTCTTTAACAAATGACAACTGAAGAATTCAGAAAAACTTGAGAAGACTTGTAAGAAGTGACGTAGTGCAAAGTAAGTAGAGCCAGGAGAACAATTTACAGTATGACCATAATAATATAAAGGCAAACAGCACTGAAAACCTCAGAACTCTAATCAATGCAATAAGCAAACATATCTGCAAAGGACTGAGAGTGAAGCATTCCTCCCATCCCTTGGCATAGAAGTGGGGACCGGAGACAGAAAGGAGACAAACATCTTCAGGCATGGATGATAGTTTAATTTGTTTTGCTTAACCATACTTGTTGTTACAAGGGAAGGCTGTATGGGGGATTTGGGTGTCAATGGGAATCAACATCAATGATTTTTAAAAAACCAATATAATATTAACTGACATTTTTTAAGTATTAGGCACTATTTAAACATAACCCAAACCATTCAGCAATAGGCAGGCCAAATCTAAGACCTAATGACTTAATTATTTCTCTCCTTCCTTTTTTTGGGTACATCTCAAGTTCAATAGGGTATTTTCCTTCACTGACCAAAGCTATTAAAGGGTGAGGAAGACCATCAAATAGCTTATCTAGAATGACCAAATTGCCAACAGGCCCTGATTGGGAATGCTGACCATAGGTGACATCAGGGCCTGAATGCATTAAAAATTTTATTTAAAAAGAAAAAGAAAAAGAACTGCATCTACTCTTAGTCCTCAGAAGTTTTTTCTCTTTTTGAAACAGTGTGCCCTGTGTTTGACAGGGAAATGACGACACTGGGTCTGGAGAATTTGGGAAGATGTTTCAAAGGGGAAAGGTTTCCTTGCTGTTGTTTTCCTGTTATTGTGATAAGTTAAGAGCCTCCATCCCAGTCTCTTTTACACACTTACCAGAAAGGAATATATCACCTCGAGCCTAGTCAGACTGTCTACAGACAAAAGCCCCCCTCAGAAGAAGTCAAGTATGCCTTAGGAAACATTCCAGTAATACCAGCCCCTTCATCTCAAGAGACCTACCCAAGGATGCCGGCTGTTTCTGCCCCACCATTCAGGGACAAGCCAGTGCTGCTCTGCCGATCCTGCCGGCGTCGGTACAGCTCAGAGGATGCCAGATCCCGGAGTCTCATGCCAGCCATGGTGCCCCCACACCACCATGCAAGTAGAATAGAGAAGGCCAATTGGAAATCGGCTCTGAGAGGGCCAAAGCCCAAGTGACTCACTTTTCCTGTTAGGAGTTTCGATGGACTTTTTTTTTTTTTTGCAATGTTCTGACAGACAGGACAGAAGGCTGCCCCAAAGCTGTGTAGTGCTGTTCTACTCTTCTAAAAGCACGGAACTTCCTCTGGAATGAAGGTCAGCCTCTCCTACCGACCTCCAAAACAATTTACAAGAGCATCCATCCAAAGAGAGTCACTCATCTGGGTCAATACATTTCAAGGATCAGTCTACAAAAGGTCCATCTTCAATTAACTGAATTTCATTCTGAGCCTTCTAGCCCTGAGTGGTAATTCAATCCAGTAAGCCTTGAAGTCAAACTAGTCCAGAGCATCAGAAACACAAAATGAATTAGGATAAATCCTACCCCAAAAAGAAACTCTAGAGGTATGCCACACAGAACTCCATCTGCTCAATGCTATTCTCCTGCTGGCTGCTGCATTGGACAATGTCTTCACATTCCTTCCTGGGATAAACCAAGCTCCTCAATCCATTTGTGTCAAGCACAACCCTCAACAAACCAAAAAAGAGGCGGGCTTGTAGACTTCTGTCCTCCAATCTGGATGGAATCAGGAACTCAAGAAAAGGCACATGCTTCACATTCCAACCTTCAGAGCACTGGCTCTGTTCGCAGCAAACTGAACAGGGGTTTTAACCAGTAACCCACCCTTTCCACCACCTCTTCCCCACCCCTCCTCCACTCTTGGACTGAGTCTCACATTACACAAAGGGTCTCCAAAGGGCAGTGGCACCAATCTGTGAAGGAAGGCAAAGTTAGTTTCAAAGAGGAAAGAAGTGGGGAGGGGAAGACTGGTGGAACTCCCTAGCCAGGATGTTATTCAATCTGGAGCAGGAGAATGAAAAACAAGTCTGTTTCAGGGTTTGGTTTAATCTAGGGATGGGTCATTGAACAGTGAACTTTCAAAGATGCCAAAAGAGGCCTTTGGAGGCCACAGAGCCACAAGACTTGTCTGGATGGATGTAAGAAGATGCCACACTCTACTCAAGCAGAACTCCATAGTTCCTAACCGGTCCAATGCAGCAGCCAGCAGGAAAGTACCAAACGAACCTAGGAAGAAGGACTTTGCCATTTTTAAAAAAGTGATTGGGATAGGGAGCATGATAGGCTGCTAGGTCCAGCTCCAAGAAGGACAAAGTGAGGAGACCAAGAAACAACCACAACTTCACTTCTTCTAGTTAAAAGTAGAAAGCTGGCCAGTTTCTCCTGTGCCTAGGCAACTAACACCCTGAGAGACGTAATTCAAAATACACCTAAGCCTCAAAATATTTGCATGAAACGTAGTATTCCCCAACCTGTCCAAGAGGGTAGGTAGGAGCAAGAGTGTGTGGGAGAATACCAGGAAGGCTTAATTTAAATGCATTTTTTAATTGGAAGAGATTAGTGGGGTCACTTGTGATTCTGGAAAAAATAATTCTCTCATTCAGTGTTTGAACAATTCTCATTGGCAGCTGTAACACCAAAAGTAATTACTAATACAGTAGGATGCCAACTGCTCATGAAAATCCTTAACACTGATTCAATTTCCTTCCAATTATTGCCCAGTGCTGTCAGAAAGCCATAGTGATATCTACCTCTTTTGTTTCAAAATAAGACTCCTGGAAGGCATTAACTATTTGAAATACTCTTAATGGACAGCATCATGCTTTTTTTTTCCCCTTTAACTTAAACAGGAAGAAATCACCAAGCAGATCTTCAGATAAAAGACTTTCTCTTCACCTAACAGAGGCAGTAACACACACATTCAACATTTTAGATTCAGTGGCTAAAAAGATGGTGATCCCTTTGGTTTCTTTAGGAAGAGAAGTTATCTAGCGAACACCTTAAATCAGTTAAAGATTTTCCTGGGACCCACACCTTGACACATGAATCAGAAGCCTACAAATACCTTGTTATACAATCCCAGAATGTGAGTACAAACTACAACTGCTTTCTTTGTATCTCCAGCACTTATCACAGGAAGTGCCTAACAAACTCTTGCTGACTGACTATGTAAACCTACACACACTGGGTAAACTATTCTCAGGGAATCTCTGAATTATCTCTTTAATATTACTATCTGAGATCATTCATTTCTTATTTTTCCTCTTCTCTGAGACTTTTTACCTACCCATTATAACTGATCCAAATCCTCTTTGCCAAGTAAGAGGTATACAACTGAAAGACACAAGAAGCTAGGGGATGGGTGAGGAGGATGGTGAAGACAAATGGAAAGTCTTCCCAGAAGCCACAAATTAGAGGCTTCTACCTTAAATGAACTTAAATCGGTGGTTTTGTGTGTGTGTGTGTGTGTGTGTGTGTGTGTGTGAATTTTAGGTTGGTATTCCTGATGTTATAGAGTCATCAAATATACGGACCACCAAGATGCCAAGCACTTTAAATTACCATCCAAGTAACAGAGACTTGACAATTATAAGGTTATTTACAATTGCTTTAAGTTTTTCAAAGCCTTTCTCATTTATTATCCTATGTAGTCCATGAGATAAATAAGGCAGTTTGATAAAAGGAAAAGATTCAGAAAAACCTGAGAGGACTTTACGAACTGATACAGAGACAGTGCAGAAAACAGAATCAGGAGAACAATTCGCACAAGTGTAAGGTATTGCTCCTTTATTATGTGGTTATTTGATTTGATGAAAGGTACAGAAAAAGGGCATGCATGTAAGAAAGCACATTAAAAAAGCAGATTGAAGAAACACAAACAGTTCTGAAGACCTGAGCAAAAACAGCCTCTCAGATAAAAGTTCTGAATCTATCTGAAAGTAGTTCAGACACAAGAGCACTGAGGGATATTAGAAATGGCTGCAATGTATTGTGTTTAAGCAGCTAGTTTGAATATGTATTTGTAAGACTTTGGAATTTATTGCTGGGAAACTCTGGAGACTACGGAGCAATTGTATAATAACTACTTGTGTTATACCTGATACAAATATAGGTGTTGGATTTCTCAATCTAAGTTAAAGATGGGTCACTACTTTTGAAGAGGTCTTAATTTGAGGCATTAGAAGCCAAAAAACAGAAGCCAATGAGTAGGAGCCAACTGAAAAGAGAAGCAATAGGCATGAAAAAGAAGCACAGAAGACAGAGTAAGTGGAGCAAAGATGAGCAAGAGAAGGGCAGATGAACTGAGACTGAGAAAAAAAAAACTTAAAGTATATACTGCTTCCCTTCCCTCCCCTCCCCCAGCTTCTGAGAGCTTTTCATGTGCCTTCCTATGCCCACTCTTCCCTCCTTAGGCACTGTTTCTACTGGTGAGAAAATGTTTGTGGGTGGACTGTTATATTTTAACATATTTGATTTTGCCTTACATTGAGTAGATGGTAATGTTATAATTATTCTTATTTTTGTCCCCTCAGTAAATGTTTCATGTTTAAGAGTCAATGGTATCTTACTACTAGAGGGTCACTAAACAGGATTATTTCTATTGTTACATATATTTATTTTTGTAAATTTTTTTTTACTTTATTGTAATAGAGACTGTAAGGCAAAGTTTTGTTCTACCAAATAAAATGCTTTTTCATAAACAACAACCAAAAAGAAGAGGCAATGATGTTACTGTAACTGACATGTATAAATGGTAAACATACTAGTGGGGGCTCAGGAACCACATTAGAGAGTATTCCTCCCCCAAAACAGTCTACTCATAAGACTGTGAGAGTGAGATGTAGTGATGTGGAAGCTGCAGCTGCCTCCCACCCCAAGAACATTATGACACACCCCACCCCATCTGCCTATATGAAGGCAGGTTGGGTTAAATGAGCCAGCCAAAAGAGAGAACTAAAGTGTAAGTGCCCCAACCCTGCCACACCTGAACTACATAATGAAAACAATACTGTAAAGGAAATCAACTGTGAAAGATTTTAAAACTAGGATCAATGCAATGATCAATCATGACTCCAGAAGATTGGTGGCAATATATGTTTCCCATCTCTTGGCACAGGGGATGATAGACTAGAGATGCAGAATGAGACATGCATACATTTTCAGACATGGCCAATATATGGATTTGTTTCACATGACTCTTTGTTACAAGGGAGAGTTTTTACTAATGGGGAGAGGGATGGAGCAATGGCAAAGAAGAATGATTGATATACTAAAAAAAATTAGAAAATAAGAAAGTGTAAATGAATCATTTTAAAAAAAAGAGAAAAAAGCAAAAAAATATTCAGAAAGGAACACAGACAAACAGGGAAGTGTTGGAATTGCCATGTCAAATTTGAAACATACTTTAAAAACACATACAGTACACAAGTTAAGATTTGAGGTTTCATTCTCAGTCCTCTTTTCCGTTCTTTGTATGTGGAAATGTTTGTATTTGTTGACATTTGTCAAGTTTAGCATTTATATGGCATCACTTTACATATGTTATATCATTTGATTCTCACAACAACCCTATGAGAATGATAGGGTCCTTGGGCTGGAGGGAAACTGTCAGGGATAGTGTTTTGAGGCCAAGGAGAAACTGGGATCCAAGCACAGGTACCCAAGCACCCCATCATTATTATCTACATTTTTCAGATGAGGAAACTGAGGTAAAGAGAAGTTGAGTGATTTGACCAGGGTCACGCTGCTAAGTAAGTGTCCAAGGTAAGACTCAAGTCTTCCTGACTCCAAGTCCAGCAATCTGTCCACTGTGCCACCCAACTGTGTGATGAATAAAAAGGGAAATTTTAAAACAAAACAGTAAATAAAACAAGTGTTATTATCCCCATTTTACAGATGAGAAAATAAAGGCATAAAGGTGAGATGACTTGCCTAAAGTCACATAGCTAATCTGTGTCAAATCTGAGACTAGAACCCAAAAGGTAATTCAATGAAAAGACTGCTAGATTTGAGTCAGGTAAACTACATTCTGGTCTTTCTTTTGTCCTAACTACAGTTATCCCTTCCACATCTCAACTTTCCCCATTGAGGTTTCAATATTTCAGGAGTTGGCATAAGAAATTACTGTAAATGGGAATTTGCAGAAGCTGCAGATAACAGGAAAAGTCAGGCAGATGACACAGCTTTGACCTACATATAGCCTATGACAAATACTTAACCCAAATTTTACAATAAGATACTATAAATACCCCATAAAAGAAAAGGAAAAAAATTCAAACTTTTCTGTTACAAAGGGAGGGCCAAAAAATTTTACAGGGATTTTCCAGAACAGGGGTGCCACGCTCCCAACCTGCATGATGTGAAAGGGATAACTGTATAAGACCTCAAATAAATTATTTCTCTGACCTCAGTTTCCTCATCTGTAAAATTAGTGAATTTGACTAGATGATCACTAATGTCTTCCCAGCTCTGATATTACATGATTCTGTGCCCCAGACCCTTTCCACAGACCCACACTATTTTATAAATATTTATCAATCAATAAACTTACTACTAATAACAATAGCTAACATTTATGTAGTACTTACTGT